TCTAAAATCCAGTGGGCAGCAATTCAGGGCTTAGCAGAGAAACCTAAGGGCTGATTTGCCCCAAATTAAAATGTTAGGGGGGTTAGTAGTGGGAGGAAAGACATACTGGCTGCAGGGCTTAGAGAGGAGAGGAGGTGGTGAATGACACTGATCTGGATCAATCCAAGCTTCCAGAAAACTTGGGAAATGATTGACATTTGAAGCCACTTGTTACTTGGCACAAAGTCGTTTGTTCATCCCTACAGTATATACAACTCAATGAGTAGTTTAGCAATTGATTTTATTTTAGTATGCCATTTACCAGCCCCTCTCCTCAAAAAAAGAAAAATATAATAGTTCTAAGAAAATGGGATAGATATTTACAGTTGGCACTCTCAGTTTTTGAATGCATATTGTCTTATTGCCAATGTAACAACAATCTCTCTCTTTTTTAGGGTGGGGTTGGGCATGGGGGAAACAGAACTTTATAAAGCACATTTAATGTTTGTGAAAAGTAGCAGAATGAATTTTCTCTTCATCCACAGAAAAGCTGCAGCACTAACAGCAATGGTGCTGGCTCCTCAAAGTCCCTCAAGCATATTGTGGAGGGTCTCAGTACAAGTTCCAACTCTGGCCTTAATTGTGATCTTGATGCTAGTGTAAATTGTTATACGCTTCTTCTACAAGAGTGAGGGACTTGTGTATTGCAAGAAGTCTTGTATTGTGGTACACAAAAAGGCCCATTTATACATTGGGGTGATATCCTGGTCCCACTGAAGCCAATGGGAACTTTCTTTTCACATTAGGAATGAAAGATAATAGCCAGGTCTTGTGGGACACAACGTTCTTGCAGTGTGTCTGATGGGCTAATCCAACTGTTCAGTTGCCTGCACAATACAAACCACTCCACTGCTTTGTCCCAACATTTGCTCTCTTGTCTTTACTTCACAAACTCCTGTGGATCCTCAGGTATTCTGCCTCTCTGATTTGCTAGTCATTCTTTGTTAAGGGGCTATCAAAGTAGAACAGGGAAACCAGACCCTTAAATAAACTAAATACAAATTCAATACAGAAAGAAGATTTGCACACCTTCCAAATCTAGTCCCACAGTTAATGCTTGCAAAGTGCTTTAGGATCGTAACATGAAAAGCATTACTGAAGGGCAAATAGTTAACAGTCGTACTTTTTCTTAAACCCAAGACTGTTAAAATATTACCCTTTGCGTTACAACAAATGGATGGATCAATTTAGATTGTTAAGAATTTGCATGTGATAAGTTTGCTCTCCAAAATTTTGCAGTGAAGTCATTTGGAGTCTCACCATACTATATGAAGTACTCAGTGTAAACTGTAAAGAAGACGCTCCTCGAAGTGGAAATACTTTCCTAACTGACAGGAAGTGCCAATACCAGCCCCTTTAACCATAACAAAGTGACTGATCCTAGTAAAGCAATTCTAACTCATGGGGGGAAAAATACTGTTTCTACAAAGGGGAATGACATAAGGGAAAAAAGTTCAAAATCTGCATAATAATAAAAAGCAGATCTTCAGCTCTCAAGACATTGGATTGCAAATGCAAGAAAATGCCTCTGTGAAAAGGCCATTCTAGGGTACCATATTTAGTCTCTCAATTATATCCAGATTAATTCTGCTCAGTTTAAAAGTAAAAAAAGATGTTTATTCTAATTACCAGCTCTGCAAACTAAATCTGAGAACTGAAAATCAAGCTATGTCTCCCCCCCCCCCACACACACCCCAAACATCATCCCAGGAACAAAGATTCTGACATTAGAATTTAGCTTACAACTTGGCCACTGATGCATGAGTCAGAATACACTCCAGCTTGATCGCCGAGATATGTATGTCCTGTATGACAATACTCTTTCACACTCACACAAAAGAGGTTTTCAGTAACGTTAGCAGGTATGATTTGGGGGATACACACGCAGCAAATATGTTGAGTAAGGGCAATTTTAACACTTTTCTAACTAGAACCTCATTTAAAAAAAGATTCAAATAAGCCATTTTAACTTATAAAAAACATGTTGGCAATAAATTACTACTAATGGGAACAATTTTCTTTTTTAAGGCAACACTTGACTTTCCTGATGATTTGTATGTAACACATATAGAAACACTAGATAGGGGATACATAACGAACCATTTAAGAATCACTGCATCTCATATTTTTGGACTTTTACACATAAAAAATGAGGGTCATATTCATTTTAGACCAAATAAGTAATCTAGAAATTATGGGCTGGAGAGGGGTTTACAAAAATTTCTGGTTACCTCTCTTTAATGAAATTTTGCTTATCTCACACTTTGCTTATCTCAAAGAGGTGGACAATATGGAAAAACAGCATTTATAGAAGTACCTTTCCTTAATAACATTAAAGTGTAACTTGTAGGAATGGACTCAAACCCTTGCACATTCCTCAAGTCCAGAGAAAGAAAATACTCCAAAAAATGATTGGATTAAAAAAAAAATCACACGGGATATACATCAGCACATATTGGGAGTAGGAAGGGGGGGGGTCATTCAGATAAAGTTTTGAAGGTGTCCTATACAAAATCAACAAGCCAGGCCAGGGAAAAAGAAAATATTATTCAGAAACTACACATGCAAGAATTCTTGACATAATAACTTAAGTGAGTCATGAAGGGAGCTATAAATACTGAGGAATATAGCGTACTTAGAAAGATCCAGAGAAAATGCTGAAGGAGAAAAGGTAGTGTCAAGAAATAACTGACAGAAGATCTTAGAGGAGGTTTCATGAGGGAGTAGAATCATTGTGGCTTAACAGACCATAAAACAGTGGGGATATTTGGAATTTACTATGAACCCCCTCCTGTCAGAATGATTAGGAGTGACCATACTTTTGTAACCCGGGTCTGCCCATCTTCCAATTTCCCCACTTATTGTAGTAGCGCTCACATGTCTGCCTTGTGAACATAAGCCCTTCTGGGCGGGCAAGGACTGCGTCTACTGATGTGAATTTTCACAGATTCATTAATAGATGCCCATGGTTATGCTCCTACTCTAGCAAATTTGGTAATAAAGGTGATTGTGAAAAGTTGATGTTAATGGAAAAGGAAATGCAAAGATTATTGGTGAAACACAGGTAGACAAGACAAAACACAGGCACGGGTGAAAGCAAATACTTAAGGTCATTGGAATTAAAGGATGAGGCTATGTACATGAGGAGGAAATGGTAAGCAAAGGAGGAGAGTGAGAAGATTCTTACTATCATATGTTAAGCTAAAAATTAAAGATTTTTATTCCCAAATACATAAAGATACAAGCAGCTAATGACAGAGACAGCAGTACCTTTCTGGGGTTGCAAGGGAAATGCACTGAGTGAAGACAGATATGACTAAAAAATAATTATTTGCAGCAGCTAAACACAGACATAACATTTCCCTAGAAGGAATGAAAAACTGGAGGTTGTCAAGACTACGCCAGAAAAGTGAATCAAGAAATGAAAATGTCTGAAGACTGACAACCTTCCCTCTGCCAGCACTGTGATGGGATACATGTCAAGAAAAAGTGGCAAAAGAAATGACACGGCACCTTTAGTAAGTCTATTTTAAACATATTTAGAAATAGAGGAATCTTAATGCACACAAAGGTGGACTTAAAAAGCCTCTGATAAGATTAATCAGGGAAAGAACAGATAGCTATCACTGGAGATAATTCACAAATGGGAGATCATGCCTAATACATTGGATAGAACATTTTGAGAGCCAATAAGTATTTCATGGAGGTGCTTAGAGGAGTAAAAATCATGGACAATTTATTGGACATTTAGCAAAATTAATAATCTGGTAATCATACAAAAGACAAATCTGTGAAGTCAATGAGTATGACATAAGGCATGACCCACTATTTGATAAGGAACTGCCTTGAACACTGAAGGCAAAAGTTACCCATGAATGGAAGTTTGGCACCAATAAGAAACAGCAGTATGATCCAATCAGTTCACTATAAGAATTATTGTCTTGGAAGGAGGTGACATTTGCTAAGGTTGTGACTGTGGTGGCATGGCAGTCAATACTAAGCATGAAGGCAATACAATTAAGTATGTCCAATTCTGAAAACGTGCAGTTATCTGCTCATTTTCCTAGATTATGCGTGTTATATTGACATTCGTCACCTAAGAGAATAGGTGAAAATTAAGCACAGTAAATAAATGTAAGCAAGTGCGACAAAAAGACACAAAACAATGGATTCTTCATCTTTCCCACACAACAGTGACATGTCGAGGGTCCATTATTGCTACTTTGGTAGCAAGCTGTGGTACAATGGAGGAGAATGCATTGTTTGCCAGACTATTGGAATGGTGGTTGCATGGTATTACACAGGTTAAGAATAGGTGAGAATACTACCAACAGCAAGAATTACAAGAACAAGTGGTACTCTTTATACATCAGAGGGGTAGCTGTATTAGTCTGGATCTGTAAAAAGCGACAAAGAGTCCTGTTGCACCTTATAGACTAACAGAAGTATTGAAGCATAAGCTTTCGTGGGTGAATACCCACTTCGTTAGATGCTTATGCTCCAATACTTCTGTTAGTCTATAAGGTGCCACAGGACTCTTTGTCACTTTTTATACAGACACCTATGGCCCACACAACAAAAAGTCCACACTAGATAGAGTTAGGATTGTAGGAGGAATTTGAAGGAGTGAGACAAATAGACACATTATGGAAAGGCAATGCGAGAGATTAAGAGTTCACTAAAATGGTGGGATTGGGTGTATAGTTTCTCCTTAGGTCTTTTTTTCCATCTCAGGGTTACAGAATATTAGGGACCTTGTTTCTGGAAGTAACACTATCTAGGAGGAGCACCGGGGCAGCAAGTGACACTTTTTGGAGAGAATGCAGGGGTTCCCAGCATCAGGTATCCCTGGTTCATGGCCAGCACATTCAGTGGCTATGGTGGAGCAAGATACTTGGTGATACTTGTTCAGAATCTGACCCTCAAAGAACCATTGATAAATGGAAATAGCCTTTTCCTACCAGCTGATTTTGGAGTGAATTTGTCCCTGTTGGCTGCACATACGGCCAGTAGCCTGTATCCAAGATCCAAGTCAAATCCTTGCTGTGCTGCCACTCGACTAACAACCTGTGAAGGGAAAGAGAAAGCTTCAGTGGGGGTTACTTCTGGCTCCTTTCAAAGTCACATTAACCTGCTTATTGACACAAATGGCAAACGACTGTCTGCTGTTGTGACATCCATAGCATATACAGGGGTATGTGGCATTGTTCTCCAAGAGCTTTTCAAGCAAGCACAGAAACCTGCACTTTTGCATCTGTTATCTGTTCGTTCCCCTGGAGAGGCAAAGCTTAATACAAACAAAAACAAACAGTAGAACTTTTATATACACTTAAGCATGACATGTTTTATTGTGTTTAGGAACTATCAGACCAGATCTTAAACACTGTTGTACAGACATTAACAAGCACAATGCATTGTTCTTAAGAGCACTGTCTTGATCTTCATGATTAACAAAATCCTCCCACCTCACTGCTATGCAACATGCTATGTTCTAGTCAGCTGCCACCCCAGAGGTGGCTGCACTTCAGTAGCACTGTATACTGTCTGGGAAATATCTTGGGATACCTTCTGGATAAACAGGATCTATAATAAAAGGTGCTATATAAAGTATTATCCAAACATATATCATACAAGCTGAAAGAAGAACTTAAGTAAGGTGTAGGCAGTTTTATTTATTTGTATTGCAACAGTACCAAAAGGTCCCCAGCCACAACTGAAGCTCTATTGCACCAGGTGCCATGAGAGACAATCCGTGCTCCCAGTAGCTTACAACCCAAGAAATAAAATATTCTTTTTCCTTCCTTGTCTCAGGATCAAAGCCACTTGTTAAATTAAAAGACAGTGCACATTAGTGTGCAATTATCTGTGTCTAGAACTGGCTCTCAAAAAAGCAATGGTACAGAACTGAGTTAGAAACCAAGATACACAATAACCTATAAATGGTAATGAAATGTACCATTCTGTGGTAAGTAGTCAGTTCTATCACATGAATCTTCTTATTCCAAATTGTTTTCCAGTATCTACTTTTCCTAATTAACAATAAAGAATCAGATTTCTTTATTAAGAGAGTATTACTACAGATAATGCTGCAGTTTATGGATAGATTTTTGTTGATGTTAATTTGGAAACTAAGATTTATGCAACTGCATCAGGTGGTTTCCCCTCCCATTTTCTTTAACACTTCTAATCTCAAAATTGAGCACCAGTGATCTTCATGACAAATAAATTAGATTAAATTTGGAATAATCAACACAATAATATACAGGTCTGGAACACCGCAGCTAGCCCTTTTACATCCAGTTTATCTGTGTTAGTTGCAGAGATATAAAGTAAAATTTTAGATAGGAAGAGAATTATAATTTAGGAGAAAAGGCCTGTTTATTTTTTGATAAATCATTAAACATTTTGAACTCAGTAAAATAATCTTCAGACCCCCTACATGTAACAGTACAGTTGTTAGTATTGGTGTCTTTGTTAAGATTCAAGGTCTAGAGCTTGCAAAAAGTTGATGCAGTGGGACGACTCACCTGCATAAAGTTAAGCTCATGCAAAAGTCTTCACAGGATCAGGGACCTGGAGACATTAACAAGACCCCGAGATGGCTCAAGCCCTTTTGGGGCAGAAGGCTGTCAGACTCATATTTGGAGTTGGAGGATACTCACATTTGGAAGGCTCCAGATGTTTGCACCCCCTAAACTGAGTATCACCAGAATCCAAATATTAATCTATTTGCCCATTCATACCGTCAGGTACATGTCATGAAGGAGAACTGGAAAAAGCAAACTGGAAGCTCATTTTTTAATCTTGTTAAAGGCTCCTGAGAGGGATCTCCTGTTATTATGCAAACATAATTGAAACTCATTTAGGCACCATCTACTCTAACATCACACACTAGCTAATTTAAAGTGTGGCTCACTTCATTGAGATAAGAAAGGGAACCTGCCTCCCTGCCTTTATTAAAATGCTGTTTTGACTGGCACATTATCTGCAAGCTTAATATTTTGAAACTGGATAGGAATGAAAGCAGATACATCTGCTCATCAATGAAACTAGAGTAAAGTGTGTTTACTTGCAAAATTCATTGACATTTTTACGCTTGGTTCTGTTTAAAATATGGACTTATGGACACAGATGCTGCTGGCCAAAGGCCAAGTAAGGACTTCCAACCAACGTCTTGCTAATTATGGAAAAAGTTCTCTACATTAATTCAGGAGACACACAATCACAGACCCTGACCCATGACACACAGTCTATGATTAAGGTAACTTTATTAGTCATATCAGAAAGTCAGGGTCAGTTTAAGCCTAAATACAGACAAGGCACAATCTGTTATGCTCATTAATTGCAATAATTTTTTATTTTATTTATTTAATTAATTTATTTAACTAATTATAGTAAATATTCTTCTATACATGACATGATCTTGATCTATAATAATAAATAATATAATAATAATAATATATTGAGATATACTTATCTCATAGAACTGGAAGGGACCTTGAAAGGTCATCGAGTCCAGCCCCCTGCTTTCATTAGCAGGACCAAGTACTGATTTTTGCCCCAGATCCCTAAGTGGCCCCCTCAAAGATTGAACTCACAACCCTGGGTTTAGCAGGCCAATGTTCAAACCATTGAGCTATCCCTCCCCCCACCAGTCATATTGACTTGTCCGGGCCCAATCCAAAAGTTACGTATAAAGTAATTTCTGTAAGTAGGAGTCTGTAAATAAGGGAAGGTGTGAAGCAATCTGAATCTATGGACATCTAAATAATAGAATTGGTCCAGAAATGCTTTTCCCCCCACATAAGAAATTTCATTAAAAAAATATTTTTTCCAACAACAATCCAGCATATGTAATCAAAAATGGACATTTCCTGTGGAAATCTCCATTTTGACAAAGTAGCCGTTTTCTACTGGTTTCAGAGTAGCAGCCGTGTTAGTCTGTATCCGCAAAAATAACAGGAGTACTTGTGGCACCTTAGAGACTAAGGGTATGTCTACACTACGAGAGTAGTTCGATTTTACTTAAATCGAATATGTGGAATCGATATTGCAAAGTCGAACGTGTGTGTCCACACTAAGGACAGTAATTCGACTTTGTGAGTCCACACTAACGGGGCAAGCGTCGACATTGGAAGCGGTGCACTGTGGGCAGCTATCCCACAGTTCCCGTAGTCCCCGCTGCCCATTGGAATTCTGGGTCGAGCCCCCAATGCCTTCTGGGTAAAAAAATGTGTAGAGGGTGCTTTTGGGTAACTGTCGTCATCCGTCCGTCACTACCGACCTCCCTCCCTCCCTGAAAGCGCCGGCGGGAAATCAGTTCGCGCACTTTTCTGATCAGTGACAGCGCGGACGCCACAGCACTGCGAGCATGGATCCCACTGCAACCATCGCTGCAGTTGTGGCCGTTCTCAACACCTCACAGCTTATCATACACCTTTCCCTGAGGCAGATGCAGAGAAATCGGGCGAGGAGGCTACGGCACCGCCGTGAGAGCCTGAAGTCGGAGAGTAGCACAGAGCTGTCAGAAACCACGAGACCCAGCGCTCAGGACATCACGGTGGCAATGGGTCATGTGGATATTGTGGAACGGCGATTCTGGGCCCGGGAAACAAGCACGGACTGGTGGGACCTCATAGTGCTGCAGGTCTGGGACGAATCCCAGTGGCTGCGAAACTTTCGCATGTGAAAGGGGACTTTCCTCGAACTTTGTGAGTTGCTGTCCCCTGCCCTGAAGCGCAAGGACACCCGGATGCGAGCAGCCCTGACTGTCCAGAAGCGAGTGGCCATAGCCCTCTGGAAGCTTGCAACGCCGGACAGCTACCGGTCAGTCGCGAACCACTTTGATGTAGGCAAATCTACCGTGGGGGTTGTTGTGATGCAAGTAGCCAACGCAATCGTTAAGGTACTGCTCTCAAAGGTAGTGACCCTGGGAAACGGCCAGGTCATCATAGATGGTTTCGCCGCGATGTGATTCCCAAAATGCGGTGGGGCTATAGATGGGACTCACATCCCTATCCTGGGACCGGACCACCAGGCCAGCCAGTACATTAACAGAAAGGGCTACTTTTCAATGGTGCTGCAAGCACTGGTGGACCATAGGGGACGTTTTACCAACATCAACGTCGGATGGCCGGGCAAGGTTCATGACGCTCGCGTGTTCAGGAACTCTGGTCTGTTTAGACGGCTGCAGGAAGGTATTTACTTCCCGGACCCCAAAATAACTCTTGGGGATGTGGAGATGCCTACAGTGATCCTCGGGGACCCAGCCTACCCGCTAATGCCCTGGCTCATGAAGCCCTATACTGGCACCCTGGACACAGAAAAAGAACTGTTCAACTACCGTCTGAGCAAGTGCAGAATGGTGGTGGAGTGCATCTGGGAGGCTTTGAAAGCAAGGTTCCAGACTGAGCAGGGTAACCAGTGACTGTTAAGTTTGTGGACACAGAAGCTGAACCTCCAGTTACATACCCCCTTCACCCCCTTCCCAAAAAATAAAATCAGTTCTATTTTGTCAATGAACACCGTTGTCTTTATTACTGTTTTCGCGGGAATGTTTTAAACCGTGGACGCAGACTGTGGCGGGGGGCGGGTTTAGTGTTCTGATGCAAATGATGCTTCTAAACTCCAGGAATGACAGGCTCCGCAGTGGTGCACTGGTTATTTCAACGGAGCCTGCCATCACTCCTGGGCGGAACTGCGTGTATGTGTCAGCTATGTGAGTTTCTGCCTGGGGGAGGAGGGTTACAGATCCCCTGCTGCGTGGCTCTGTGATCCAGGATAAGGACTGCAGCATAAGATCTGTAACTGCCCTCCCCCGCCACAAAGTCACAGAGCAACCCCCCCCCCAGGAGATGAAAACCACCTCCCAGACTGACCAGGGTCACTAGTGACTGCACTGTGTATGTGTCCTGATGCTGGACCTGCCCCCGCCTCTGTACTCTGCTAAAGGTGACTGTCCTGTCCAATTACCAATCCCCTTCCCCCCCTCCAGACAGACTCTCCCTCAAAAGAACCTGAGTGAAACAGTAATGAACAGAAACATATTTTTTATTAACAACCAGACA